GAGGGGAAGGTGGCGATGTGGCCTGCTCCCGGACCTCTCCGGCCGTCTGCCCCTCACAGGGCAAACCGGACCCTCCTGTCTGCGCTGTCAAGTCAGGAGCCGGAGCCAGGCTTTTCTGTGACTGCGTAGACGCGGAGAGCCAGAGGGCCACCGGGTGCAAAGAAGAGTGGGGGTGTTGGGGTTCGTGTGCTCGCGGTGCGTCTTCCTGACCCTTCCTCTCCATTATCCTTCAGCTTTGCCTCCTTTAGCTTGGGGCAACGACTCTTTCCATGGAAGATAAACCTGTTACCCACCTGTTCTGTGGTTCTTAAAATAACCCCCTCCACCCCCGTTTTTTTCTTTTTTCATCCGCAGTTTAAACGAATCCCCAGGACAGAACCCAAAGGAGGAGAAATTATGCCCGGAAAATTTTACCCGCATCTTGGACAGTTTACTGGATGGTTACGACAACAGGCTGCGTCCTGGATTTGGGGGTATGAACGATTTCAAACGCTCAAGTGTGTCCTGTCTGTCCCTCTCTCGGTCTGCCTGTCTGTCTGTCTGTGGGAGTATCATTAGGTATGCCTCGCGTGTAAAATTGCAACATCTCTTCCTCTCCATCCCACCCTCCCCTCTCACACCCCTTCCTCCCTCTCCTCCCCTAAGAAAGACCTCTGGCAGGAAGACCGCCCCCAAACACACGTTCCCCCGCCCCTGCCCCCTCGGAAGCTTTGCTTCTCCCCTACACTAATTACCTCCCGGGACCTGACTGCTGGGAGGGGGAGGTTGGAGGGGAAAGTAAAAAATGGGAATTTGGGGCTCAGCTGCCCCGCTGCCTTGTGCCCTGAGCAGGGGGTTCCCCTGGACCTGGCCATTTGTCTCAGAGCAGGTTGCATTGGGAACAGCTGATCCTATGTCCCCTGTGCTCCCACGTGGTGTCAGTCCCCCAGCCAAAACCTCGGCCTTGTTCTCTACCTAGGACATGAATCTGGGGCAGGAGGATGCCTGCTCTGCTGGAGAACCCGCTTGTTTTCTCTTCTACAGCGGGATGCATTTTTTCATTTATTTGGGGAGGGGCCATTTGCTTCTCTCCTAAGACTTTGCAGTCAGAGGTGTTTCGGTTTTATTTCTATAATAAATATTTATAAAAGGTGGAATAGAGGTGCATCCATAACAATACTGTTGCTCTTTTTCATACTTATATTCCCTTTGCTTACATAATGAAAGCCTATGTGGCAGGCACTCTGCTAGGTACAAGGTTCACAGAAATCTCAAGATAACAATTCTTAACTTCAAACTCCCTCTCAGACCAATTCAGAGAAGACTACGGACTTCATCAGAAGTGTAGGCCCAGGTCTTCTGACCAACAAGTCCCTGTTTATTCCCATCACACTGCGCTTGATACTTCTCAGGAAATGAGTTGAAGATACAGACTTTTTCTTAAGGGAGCTGACATTCTAGTAGCAGTAGTAATAACAACAATGACAACTAATATTGTAGGTATTTATTAGAATGTTCATATCATCTATTTCATAGGCATTACTGTTCAACCCTCACAACTGTGAGCGAAAGCTATTACTATTCCCATTTTACAGATGAAGACATTGAGGCTTGGGGAGGTCAGTAGGTGGTGCAAGTTTACATTTAGCAAGAGGCCGGGGCATGATGTGAACCCAGTTCAGGTTGTGTATTTAAAAGACAAACCCATGCAGATTGGGAGGAGATCACATGCTGTGTGATGAGGATCACATGACATGTATTGGAAGCTTGGAGGAATTTCAGCTTCCTATTGAGGATGTGTAGGAGATAAGATGATGGGAAAATGGAGAGAGTAAAAGGGAGGAGAACATTCCTGTGGAAGAGTACAGGATTAGATGTGATATAGAAGGAGTGTGGTCCCGGGTTACAAAGACCTGTTGGAAAAAAAAAATAGAATTGGATAAAGTAGAACTGGATGAATCTTTGGAGTCCTTTTGTTCTTCTCGTTTGACAAAGATGTTTAGACAGGAACACAGCATATTAATAATGATAGACTGGAGTCGGGCCAGGTCTTCTGATCCAAACCACTCTTTTCTGGATTTCATGAGAAGGTTATGGGGAGCCATTGAGGGCATTAATTCAACCTTTGTGTGTTGACAGTGATAAATATGAGTGAGGAGGATGAAAGATTCTCCTGGTCCTTTTCACATTGCTTCTCCAGGGGTAGGCTGCTCAGCTCTGTGATGGCCTTTAAGCAAATCTGAAAAGAGGCTCTCTTACAAAAGCGAATCATTTGTCAGTGCACAGTCTTTCGTAAGTGACTGGGGAATTAACACTTTAGATCCAACATAATTTTGTGGAGAATGTTTCGGGTGATGTGATAGCATTTAAATCTATATGATGCCAATAAAAGAGGATTTATCTGCTCATAAAGGTTTTAAACGTGACATTTCAAGTAAAGGGGAGAAAAAGCAGGAGTAGTAAATCACATGTTGCTTAAATATTCCTTAAAGAATTGATGCACCTGAACATAAGTTCAAGTAAAAATTTATAATCGAAACTATGGTTTTATTATTAAATGTTGAGAGCTAAAATAATATTTGCCCAGTTGGTTACGATACAAATTCTAATGGAAAAGGAAGAAGGGATCCACTGTAGATAGGCTCTTTTTACCGACTACCCTCTCCCATAATATTATACGGACAATAACATGAGTGAAATCAGTCTACGTAGGCCATTGCTGGATTTTGGTTAGCTGCAGTGCTGCTGAAATATCTCAAAGGCATTATTAGTCATCTTACTTGTCACTGCCAAGTGATCTGCTTTACCCACCTGGAGATACTTTTTATAGTTTTATGGGAAGGGGTTGAATTCACCTTACTTCGAGTGTGCGCAGTTGATTAATCAGTACAAATTTACTATGGCACAATTTTTTTTTTGGCTCTGTTTATAAATATTTGTGGTAAATGTGATTCATTTTTTAGAAGTGGGTCACTGTCTGTAAATGCGTAGTATGCCAAATGTGACAAAGGAATAGTAATTCTCACCTGCAGAAAATGTGTAACCTGTTTACAGGCTGTTGTAAATGAAATAGAATTCACTGAAAATAATAACAAAATGCATCCTTAGCATAGACTCTTGGAAGCCACAAGTGTGATCCCTCCTTTGACATTTTATACTTTGTGGAAAGTTTGGCATTTTAAAAATAAAATGAAAACAATTCAGGTTTTGACCAGTATGCTATAAATATGGATCTACATCCTGGTTCCTTTCATCCTACCTTTGCTCTTTGTGGAGCATTGACTTTATATCTGTTTATACAACTTAGCTGTGTTCCATTTAAAGTAAAGCTGAAAGCAAAGATCTGAATTGAAACCGGACGGTTTGTGATTGCTCAGTAGGCCAGGCAAGGGTTGAAATAGATTTAGAAACGAAATTACATATTTTTAACTCAGCAGCACAGCTTGCAATGGGGGAACTAAAAGGAACTGAAATAGTTCTCTTCTTTTCATCCCTCCAGGATCTCCTCTCACTGGTTTCCCACATTCTCCAATTGGAGAAGAAAGGGGGGAAAGGTGAGAAGAGAAGGAAGGAGGCATGGTGTGAAAGCTAGATTAGGACTTCTGATGGGTGAAGTTTATTCAGTCTCTGACAAATCAGTCTGCTAGCATCCTGAAGTAGCTTCTACCTGCTTAGAAGTGGCATCCAAGCAAACCCTTCCACAGAGGAGCTAGAAAAGCATCCCCCCTGTGCCATTATCCACTTTCAACACTGTTGTAAGTCTTCTGAAAGATGCATAGCTAGGGTCCTGACCACCAGGAGATTGTTCAGGAAGCCAGCCCTTACCCATTTCCCACTTATTGAAGGCTTACACAAACTGTTGTTCATCTCAGCCTTTTGGTGTACATATTTGAAATAATAAATGCTTAGCCTATATAATAAAAGGCTAATATGTAAATAGACCGAACAGTGGAACGCCTGGTCGCTATGACGTGCACTGACCACCAGGGGGCAGATGCTCAACGCAGGAGCTGCCGCCTGGTGGTCAGTGCGCTCCTACAGGGGGAGCACCGCTCAGCCAGAAGTGGGGCTGATAGCTGGTGAGCACAGTGGATGTGGCAGGAGCCTCTCTCGCCTCTGTAGCAGCACTGGGATCCCTTGGGGGATGTCCGCCTGCTGGCGAAGGCTCGCTCCCCACAGGCCTAAGCCAGCAGGTGGACATCCCCGAGGGGTCCCAGACTGCGAGAGGGCACCGG